AGTGGTGGGGAGGGGGCCGTTAGGGGGAGAAGAAGTGGGTGGTAGTAGAGGGGGCAGCTGGAAGGGCCGGCGGGTGCCGAGCCGATGCAGGCCCGCCCGGGGTGATGCTCCGCCAGGTCCCGGGGCGCGGAGTCGCGCAGGGCGGCAGCCGGCGCAGAGCCGACCCTGCCCGTCTCTGCCCCGGTCTTTGCCTGGCTCCTCCCATGGCCGGGGCCGGGCCCGGGGCAGGAGGTGGACTGGCTCCGGGGGCCGGGGGGCGGCTTTGGAGTCGCCTTCCAGGTAGACGAGAGCAAATGGTCAGCCGCGAGCCGGGGATTATGTCACTGGTGCGAGGCAGGAGCTCCGAAACGCTGCCTGGCGGGGCTGATTGACAGCCGGGCCGGGAAGGCAAGGCTATAAAAGGCGGCAACCTCCCGCCGAAAGCCACTGGAGAGGATCCGAGCCGCTGCTGCCCCGCGCAGGGAGCCCGCAGCTTTTGGCCCCTGCCTTGTCCCCGGTGGCTTCCACTTGCTTTCCCCGTTGGATTTGACTGGGAATTTTCCAAAGGGCAAGAGCATCACTGCAGCCTTGCATGCCAGGTAAGGAGGAAGGGGAAGGCTGGAAAACTTTGCCTGCTGGGGTGAGCTGAGCTGGCTGGCGAGTTGACTGCAGTAGACTGTGATGAGTCGGCTACAGGACACAGCTATGGGGAGGTCTGTCTGCCTTTGCCTCCCTTCCCCTCGTCAGTCTCCTTGTCTCAGCTGAGCTTTTGTCAGCCCCCTTTTGTTGTTGCTGTTGGTTTGGGCACAGCTGAATGATGCTGGTGGAGAGTACCTTGTGTCAACCAGCATCCCCGATGTGCTCACACTCCGGACAGCCGTATATCTTCAGTGGGCAATATTATACTAATAGCTTTCTTGATGCAGGGTCATTAGATACATAGTGTTTTATCACACAAGCAGGCGGCGGGATAGCACTGGAAAGGCACGTTGGTTTTTCTGTTGCCCCTTGGACACCGTGCTCTAAGGTAAGATGTGCATTAGAAAGGCAAATGCATAAAGATTAAAAAGGAAAATAATATATTTGTAAAGGATTAGTCTTGTAGCTGGGATGTTAAACCTGAGTTAGGAGATTTTTAAGGGGGAAAAAGCCCCCTTGCTGGTACACCTGACCCCTAGTTGTCTTTCCTGCTTGGTGCAGAGGGCTGGACCTGATGCTCTTCCAAGGACCCTTCTGGACTTACAATCTATGAATCTATGCATTTTCCCATTTTTGCAGAGTATGATTTTGTAGAAATAGCAAACAGAGTTTTCAACAGAAAGTTTGATTTTCTGAGGGATGGAAAGTACTGAACTCTTTTGGAGTATAGCTTAGAGAGCTTTTAAAGTAGTGGTATACTGTTATCCAGAAAAACATGTCTGCACATTGCAGCTGGCAGACTGGATTTATTCTAATGACTAGACAGTAGCCCTGAACTATTTTGGCATATGTGTTAGAGCTTTTAAAGTAGCAGTGGTACCCTGTTATTCAGAAAAGTCTGTCTGCACATTACAGCTGGCAGACTGGGCTAATTCTATTCAGCACAACACCCACATGCACGTGCACACGTGCACACGCACACACATACTTTTCCCCCATATAACCATACGGTAATACATGAAGGAAACATCCCAATAAAACTAATTCAGCACTGTGAGATAAATCTTAATTTAAGTAAATGTGCATATGCACGTGCATGTAAGAAAAAGAAATTTTCTATGGTGACACTGAAAAGCTGAAATAGAACTTTTGAAATGCAATTATCTTGCAAGGCATTAAACTGTATAGTCTCATTCAAAGGGGAGTTAAGATGGAGCACTAGTATAGTTCATCTTCTGTCATTTGAAAACTTGTTGGCATCTCGAATAAAACCAGAAAGAAAATTCTGCTGATATGACATGTCTTTTCTGTATATTGTTCCCCTTTAGGGATCTTTGTATGGACATGGGGGTCTTAATATGTAAATATACATCCTCCTTACACATGAAGTTATAATGTTTTGCTCTTGACATCAAAACCAAACTCAAACAAGCAACTGTGATGTAATAAACATAGGACTATGCATGCAAGTAAGGAATAGTAGTAGGAACAGATCAACTCTCAATCACAAGTATTTCCCACCCCCCACCTGTCTCATACCTATTGTCTTCCACCCCTCTGATCCTCACTGCCACACATTTTTATTTTCACAGACCTGCATTTTGCATTTTGGCTTCTATTCTACCCATGAGAGCACATAATTCACCAGCAGACTCCCTATATGCCTGAAGAGGGTGTTTATGCCTGAAAGTTTGCAAAGAACAATTTTTCCAACTACTTAGCTGGTCTAATAGAAGATATCACACCTACCCAAAGAACCTTGGCTGCCTATGTCCTTAGACCAACACGGCTACAACCAACACCCCCAATCACAAGTATGTTATTTCATCCAGAAAAAAAATACACAAATAAATATATTCAAAACCAAATTCCAATGATATACACTATTAGCCATAAACATTGCTTCCAAATAAGGTGTTGCTGGGGTGAATCATGTGACAGCTGGCGGTCTACAGTTGACATGGAGTATTTGCCTAATTCATTTATGTTTTGGCTTATTCACAGGAGTTATGCTACTGAGGAGCAGCCTGTTGTGGCTAACCTTCTTGTTGACTCTGTGGGCTACTTCAAATGCTCAAGGTAAGCCCTGAAAGTTCCTAATCAGATTTGTAAGCAAGAAGTAATGACTGCACCTGCAAAGCTAAAAGTTGGTTTAAAAATGACTTATCTAAATCCCTATACACAATAGTATAATATAAGAGAAAAAGGGCTGCTAAAATAACTTTTAGCTTTCTTTAAAAACGTGTTACTATGGATAAATTTGGATAACATTTCCCTCCTACCCAAGAAAGAAAAAGATAAAAATAGTTTTCTCTAGTGAGTGTTGACTTACGTTTACTTATCCAAAAAAGTAATTGCTAAAATATTCCTTTTGCAATGCATATGAAATATGAGAATGGCTTAAGCTGACTGGGCGGGTGGGATCTGCTTGGCAGGAAATGTAGAAAGAAAGGGAAAAAACTCCATGTGCCAAATTTAGCTTGGGTCTAAATTGGCACAATGCCAGATTTTTTTTTTCTGTGCAAGTTCTTGAGATAAGTTCATCCTAGGTGTAATTCTGCTTTTCTTGAGAGCTAACCTACTGTAATGTGGGTGTTCATTTGATTCTTCCAAGCTGCAAGTTAAAATATTACAATTGATTTGAAAGCTTTCCTTATGACAATAAGCATTTTTATGTATGTGGGAGGCTGACCTTCACTAAGCTAAACATATATTAGTATTCGTATACATAAAGAAATGATGTACAAATACAAATGGGTACACAGATGTATGTATTATTACATACATACATATGCTTGTTGCCAAATATGGGGAAATGCTCAACAGGTGGATATGCCAGATGTAAATACTGCTCATTCTTGCATGCCAAATAAATATTAAATATGCTTCTGTCTTTAAAGAAGATGCAAGTACTGGATTTACTGTGTTAAAGTGGTAGCCAATATAGTAGTGTCTATCAAACTATTAGAATAGTTGTATGTACTGTGTATGGTTATATTTCATCGTGTTCCTTTTTGTAATCACATTGTTACATGCTCTTGACTCTCACAGATGGTGACAAGGAAGAGGAGACTACATTCGACTTGGTTCAAATCAGTAACATAAACCGAAAGACAATTGGAGCAAAAGTATTTCGGGGTCCAACTCCCACTACCCCGGCATATCGTTTCATTCGATTTGACCACATACCTCCAGTGAATCCAGAGAAATTAAAGCAGATTATCAAGCTCTTACGGAAAAATGAGGGCTTTATTCTTTCAGCCACCCTGAGGCAGGACAGGCAATCTAGAGGCACCATCATTGCTTTAGAAGGTCCTGGCACCACCCAGAGGCAGTTTGAGATTATTTCCAATGGCCGAGCCAACACTCTGGACCTCATCTATTGGGTGGATGGCTCCCAGAATGTGATTTCTTTGGAAGATGTGGACCTAGCAGACTCACGGTGGAAGAACATCACAGTTCAAGTAACAGGAGAGAACTACAACCTTTATGTTGGCTGTGACCTTATTGACAGCTTTATCTTGGAGGAGCCTTTCTATGAGCAGCTGAAAGCAGAGAACAGTAGAATGTATGTGACAAAAGGGTCCATTCGAGAGAATCACTTCAGGGTAGGTAACACGGATGAGTTATAGTCTGTGCTGAGGTAAGGAATATAGCTGCAGTTAGTATTGGAAGACAATGGGCCTAATTCTCTTTTTGTATATACCCCAATGTCAATATAGATAAGAGGATTCAAGAGCAGAATTTGGCCAAATGCCTTCTAATGTATTGCTGGAGGTTAACAGCAGGAATTTCAGAGTTTATACAAGTGAAGAATTGACAAAATATACTCTAGGGCTAGAGGAAGTGTGTTCTATTACTGAATGAACATTTGCCTGCAACATGTCAACTCCATTAGCCTGCTTTTCCAATCGTGGGCCTTCTAGGGAAGATGCTTTCAAGCATGCTACATTTTGTGGTGATTTGCAGAGTTTGTTGGAAATTTTCTGATGGACTCTTTTCCATCAGAAAATGATGAGATAAGGAAAGTGACATATTTCACAGAAAAACATTGTGATTTTGTTAAAATTTTGTTTCAGAAGAAAAGCTCAGGAAAAAAATTCTGTGGGGAAGAAATATCTTACCTTCAACCTTTCCCAAATTGTTTTGGTTTTCCATTTCAGAATAACTTTCCTTCCTCTTTTTCTTCTTTTACATGATCTAAAACAGAAAAATGAAGACTTGGAATCAAAATGTGACCAACTTAAAATGAGATCCCCCCCCCCCCC